TGGTTTTGGTGTTTTGGTATGCCATGAATAACAGGATTGCGGTTGGGGTGGGGGGAACTTTTTTTGGGAAATAGTTATTTTGAAAATGACTGTATGCTTTCATAGTGTCATGGCCAGGGTGCTGAGTTCAGTCAGAAGATTTCCCTTTGGAAAATGACATGTTTCAGGGATCCACTACCTGTTTACCTTGACTCCATTGGTGACATAGTGGCTTTTCAGGGCAGCTGTGTCTTGCAAAAGAAAGCTCCTTGCACACAGTATTTCAGGCCAAATGATTTAAGAGCCACTTTCTTTCTCTGTTATTGAGTATTTAACCAGGTTCTTCACTTGGATGACTAAATTGTAAGAAGTCCAGGACAGCAGGGAGGATTTTGTAGCTGCACACAGAAAATAAATCCATAAGATAACTTCGTTACGCTTCAGACCGCTTCTGCTATCTTTGTATTTCCCTCATCTGTCACTAGTGATGTCAGCACTAGAAAGCACCTGGAGGTGGTTGGATCCCACATGTGTTCTTCACTTAAGGGAGCAGTTTATCAATGTACATTAAAACGGTGCAACTAGTGGTAAAGGGTTTTATACAACATCCTTATTACAATGAAACTCTTCAGGGAGATGTCTACATTTATACAGGCTGTGGTAGAGCAGGCTGCTTTTGATTAGAGCCCGTAAATTTGGGCACAGTAAGTACACTCCGTGTCCCCCTCCCCAGGCAGGGTGACCCTGCTGACCACTGTGACCTGTGACAAACAGGTCTCAGGGCTGTTCCGGGCTGGGGGATCAGTTGAGATCCTGCACAGGAGGGACCAAAACCTGCAGGAAAATGTCCTGCAGAGACTGGACCCGCGGGATGCTGCAGCAAGAACTGGATCTGGAAGTTTGGATGCTTGGGAGAACAGCCAGAAGGAAAGCAGAGATACGATCTCACCACATGGCCACGCCCTGCTCATCAGCCTGCTTTAATTCTCCCTGATGAACGCAGTCCTGCCATTCAGTTTCTGTGCTCAAATCTCCCTGTTTGCCAGGGGAAAAGTATTGGAAGAGCTGCTATTGAAAGTTCTTGTGTTTCACTGGTGGCTCTGCACCTCTGAAGAGAGAGGAAGAATGATACATTTTCAGCTTTAGAGGCTGAAATTAAATTAGGTGTAAATGTATTCCAAGCAATGAAGGCAAATTTGCTTACTAATCTGGGTAGCATTTCCTTTTTCCCCTCCTCATACTCAAAGTAGCATTACCAGTACCTCTGCCTCTGTCACCTCTTCCCAGTCTTCTGTGTTCCTGCAGGAGCATCTCCCAGGAGCCTGGACAAGGCAGGAGGAAAGAGAGGCCAAGGCAGCAAGAAAGGAGATGTGGAACATGGGAACTGGGAGAAGCAGCAGTGTCCTGGGCATCTGGCACAAATGTTTATTTGCACCACTTCTCTTACCTTTTCCCCCAAAAGGGGGCCTGCTTCTTAATTTCTAAGGGGATTTAGGCTAAGCAAGAAATTCTGTCTCAGTGGGCCTCTGCAGCTGAGGTAGAGATAGGAAAATGTTTGGTGTCAGTAGGGAAAACCATTTCTTTTAGTTGACTCTGTCACCTTCCCATTTTACCCTTTCCTTCATAGTCTCCCTCCAAAGGTACCTTAACCCACATTTCCCTGCTGCCCTGCTGCCACTAACTACCCAAAACCATAATTAACTCTCTCCTGCTGTCAAATTAACTTGTTACCACAAGTTCTAAACTTGTCTTCCTCATCAAGAGGAATAGAAATAGTACAAATATGTTATTTTGCCTTCGTTTCTTACCTGTTGATCAAAATAATTCAGCATTTTAAAAGGAACAAATTGACTTAATTTGCTTTGGGGATACTTAAAGAGTGAGGACAATTTTATATCAATTAAAATCAGTGGTAATTCATTTATGATGGAACTAATGTAATTAATTAGGTAGTTGCTGCTTATCTTCTAATACATATATTGCATTTAAACATCTGCTCAATAGTCCATTATGAGAGCACAGGAGTGATTTTACCTGAGAGCAGTAGAGGAGCAGATGCTTCCTGATGACAGCATCCCAGTTTGTTTAGGAAACAGCCAGCCAATCCTGGATTCACAGTTTTAACTTGAAGCATGTCAGGCATGCAAGTAAATTTGAAAATCAGAAACAAAAAATTGAGGAACAAGTTTCTTCATATGATTCTTAATGATTGCATTTTGGTTAAAATGCCTTTTTTGGTTAGTGTTGTATAGGACATTTTTTTGAGGCTGATGTTTGTGTTTTGTCTTTTGTTTTGTGGTGTCTGTACATGTTAATGTTTTGCAGTGGTTACAAAGCCATCCAAATTTAAATTTGATTTCAGTGTTGCCTAGTTCAGTAATTAAAATTCGGCATTAGCTCAAAGAGTCAGAACTACAATATAAATAGGAAAATAGGAATAGAAAACCAGAACAATAATTCAGAGAAAGAGTTAAAATTGACTATCATGATGTATGTAAAAATAAAGTGTCAGTTTTGCTTTTTTAAAATAAGTTACACCTATGTTTTATATTTATGGCTTTATCAGTACTGGTTGAAGAGTGAAAATGAGGTCTTCTGGGCTGATACAGAACTGTCTGAGGCTCCTTGGTTCTAGTGACCCATTTGTAGATTTTTAGATGTTTCAAAGATCACCTAAAATGACTGTACTCATTTTATTCATCTCATCAGCAAAGTTCATCTCATCAGCTACAAGAGATACCATCAAAACTTGTAGGCTACAAAATGTACTTTCTCTGCAAAAATACTGTGGGCCGTACTTGCAGAGACAGTAAAGAGCACGATTGCACATCAATGATGTGTCTTTTTAAATCAGAAAACGTGAAATTACTGTTTCCTGAGGGGAAGGGGGATTAGAGTAGCCCTGAGAAGGATTCAGCTATTTGCCGTTGTGTGCAGATCTAAAATAGTCACAAATTAGTCATTTTAGCATTATGTAGAGAATGCAGTTTATGCAGACAGTCTTCTTTCTAGAACAGTGGTATTTAACACAGGAGCAGGTAGTCTTGCCATTTCCAGAAGTATCTTTGGGCAGGGTAGCTGGTGACTAAGCAGGAGGCAAGGCCCTGGTATCTGATGAAACATTAATGCCTGAGAAGCACCATGTAGGCTCAGTTCTGAGCACAGACTCTTTCTCTTCCCCACCCCTACACATGAAAACCAGTCTGTAGCTGGGTTTGGTTTGGGTTTTTTTTTTCTGTTTTGTTTTGTTTTCCTTTCCCACAGGCTGCTGATGGTCTCTTTTGCTATTCTTACTGAAGCATTAATCAATTTTAAAGAAGGTTCAGCATTATATAAAGAAGAATTTTTTTTCTCGCTTCTTTGTTTTTTTAAGCTGTATTTTACATATAACCATTAATGATTTGTGTGGGGAGGAAGAGAATGTCCCTTCTTGGTCTGTCACTCATGTGTGTGGCAACTGGGCATATCACACCAGTCTTCATGTGGCTTGTGACATCAGGAACAGCAATCAACACTGTCCTTCTGGCATTGTAGAATTTAGGATCTCTTCACATGCAGTTTTTAAAACTAGGTTATTCCAGAGAGCGTGTTTTCAAACATTCCCATTCAGTGCTTTAGGCATTAGTTTCCCCATAAGAAAAAATCAGCCATTTTCCTGCAGACATCTGGGATTTACCAGGAAACCAGGAAACCTCTGCTCTGTGATCTTCTCACTTCATGTCCAAAAATGTATGGGCAGTTCCTTGGTCTGCAGCTTCCCGAGTCCTGGGCTTTCATTTGTGGACTTCTGCCTCAGCAGCATCTGGGTGCCTAATACACTAAATTTAGGGCATGTCACATCAGGAAAAAAAACCTGAAAATATATTTGGGTCATTACTGTTAAAGTTTATTAGTTTTAATATTTTTTCACGTATCGATTCATCCATTGCTGACTTGACTAAGGATGTGAGATAAAAATGCAAAATAGCTTTAAATTCCTGGTGTGTTGTATGAACATAGTGTTCAGAGGATGCTGGTTCTTCTTTTCTGCTCAGTCTTTTTGTGTTTTGCTTGGACAGATACCATAAGTCAATATTCAGGGTTGCTTGGCAATAGCCAAGTCGTGAAATGCACGCCCAGCCTGTGGGGCATTATGGTTGCTTAGTTCATGCATGTAAATTTGGGGGTTTGAGCACTGAACAAGTCCACACCCAGAGTGTCTTCTTGGAAAGTTTGGTCTTATGTTTAATCTTAATGGCATTATTAATTTAATGGTTCCATTTTCAGAGACACTGAGTTATGACAGCTTTTAGAAAAATCCAAACAACTGCATGCTTTGCACTGTTGGAATATTAATTTGAAATGTTGTGAAATTCGTGCTGCAGCTGTGGTATATCTCAATGCAATTAGTTTCATCTATTTTGATTTGTTTCAACTCTACCATAAACTTTAGTACTTTACACCTGGAATATACACTAATGGGGAAAAAAAACCCCTCTCAGTTTTATTATTACATTTTATGTTATTATTATAATTACATTATATGATACATTTTATATTATTAGCAAAAGCAACTCCTGGCAAAAAGCCTTTAAAGAAAGTAGATCAGAGGATTTTTGGTGGGTACATTTGATTTGTCTTTTGGCAAGCAAAACCAGATTATTTAAGGATACACTTCTAAAATGGTCTATACTGAATGTAATGAGGACAGGTACAGCTGTAGTCCCCTTGTTGTGCCAGTTACTGTGCCATGAAGATTTTAGAGAGAGCCTTGGTGCAGCTTAGAAAGATCTCAGTTCTGGAAAGGCTTGCAAATAGTTCACAGCTTGTGGAAGGAAGTGTGTAAGATGTCTTTGTAGCTTTCAGACTCCCCTGATTTTCTTGCTAGCGTTGAAAAATTCCCTTGGGAGTTTGCATGAGTAGCGCTGTGAAAAAGGGGTGGTTGCTGCTGTTTGTCTCCTGCTCATTTACCGGGCTCGTGGCGATTTCCCTGGGTACAGACAGGGGCTGACGTGTTTCTGTGGCCACGCGTGTCGTTCCAGGAGCCCTCGGATGACTCCCAGGCCGCTGGGGCTTGCGGCACAGAAGAAGTGGTTCGCTATGAGTACCACGTCCTCTACTCCAGCAGCTACCAAGTGCCCGTGCTGTATTTCAGAGCCTGCTTTTTGGGTAAGGCCAGCTCAGACTCCGTGTGCTGGGTGCAGGAGACGATGAAAATTTTGTATTAGGTCGAGGAAGAGATGTAATAAGAAACTAAGAGGTGAGGCTGCTCACCAGAGAATTTTTAGTGCTCTGGACTCGGAGCTCCAGGACTGTGGAGGAGATGATATCATCTCAGCCTGATCTTTGGCTCCTGGCATCTTGCCTGTGGTTGACTGAAACTGCTGGTCATTTTTCTTGTTCTTTTCCTGAAATGACTAGTGTTGCAGGTTTAAACTGGGCTGGGCAGTCAGTGGACATAACCACAGTGCTTGAGCCACAGTTTGAGCCACAAGGCTGGGGTCTAAATGTGACTTTTAAATGTGTGCTGTTTTCTGTTTAAATTTGCTCCTTAAGGGAAAATAAAGTAATACTGATAGGATATTGACCTTTTTTTTTGTATTGAAGCTGGCTCTTGAAACAGTCTGAGGCTGTCTCCTCCCTGGTATGAACATCTTGCTACCCACTGCTCTGTGGCTGTAACCGCTGTGATTTCAGCCCCCATCCTGTCAGGGGAGGAAGGAGGAACACTCATCCTCCCAGGGAGGCCACGTTGGTGTCACTCATTTAATCAGCAGGCACAGAGTGATCACACTGCAGCGCTGGCTGTGCTCTGTTCCTCACTGCCCCAAGCCTGTGTACCTCTGCTCCATGGCACTGTGCCTGCAGTGGTGTGGCCAGCAGGACCAGCTTGTGGCACTTGTGGGCAGCCTTGAGTGGGGAGCATGGTTGTGTTGGGTTAAGGCTTGGACTAGATCATTTTAGAGCTCTTTTCCAACCTAAACGATTTCATGATCAGCATCTTCTGTGTTTTGAATAATATCTTAACTTTATCTAGATAAAGATGTCTGAATGTTGCCAGTGATATCTTTTCCTTTTTAATTAAAAAGTAGCTTAAGCTGCTTTGAATGTGTTTGGTAGATTTAATCACTCTCTGCCTTATATTGTTTAATGGTTTCTAATTTTGCAGTGTTAGCGTTTCAAAAAGCACTTCAGATTCAAAATTGAAGAACAAATTCTTGTAGGCTCCCTGGTGGAAAGATTTTAGTCTGAGGTGCAGTTTCAGGAACGGATAATTTGGGGTAAATTTTCAGAGTGGGATGTGGGGAACTGGGGACATTGTTCTGCCTTTACCACCACCAAAACTCATTTGCACACATCCTGTTGCAGATTTATTTCCAGCATTATTACAGGCATTTACAAACGTGCAGTGTTTTGCCTTTGAACTTGTTGTGCAGACAGGAAGATGAAGGTAGTTTTGCTGTGAGAGACGGGTTAGCCCATTTGTGGTCCTGAAAAATGTCATCTTCTTGATTTTTGCTGAATTTATAGTGCAGTGACTCTACAGAAGAGGACGGAGAATGGTGCAGGTAGAGGAAGTAGGACAGTATCTCTGCTGTACTGTACTTCCATATAATTAGTATTCACCATAAGCAGTTAATCACCAGAGAAGAGCTCACAGAGACAAAACAAGTTGTTTAGCTTGTCAGCACCAGGGAATCGGAGGTGTTGAAACATGACTCCTTATAGCTGGAAGTGGATATTACAGGAGCCAGTGGATGATCTAATGCACAATCATGGTATTATGTGCCAACAGCTCCCCTTGCAGTACAGAACTGTAATTGCTCCTGCAAGTACAATTACCCTTTAAAACACTTCTTGGGAACCTTTCACAATGGAAAACAAGCGCTTTTTTTAGATGCTTCCGAAGGTCACCTGGGTTCTCTTCAGCATTTTACATTCTCTTTTAAATTATAACAATATCTGACTCTTGAAGCGAGCAGGATACTAAATGCTGGCAGTAAGTGTGTTTCCTACAGTGTTACCAGCTGGTATTCTCTGATTTTAATTATGGGCAGCTTACTTTTGAAAATGAAGAATTCTGTCTTCCCTGCACGTTGTTGGTCTGCCTGTGTTGTTGGTCTGCCTGTGTTGTGCTGTCTGAAGGTCCCAAAGTGGGATTTTTGGAAATGTACAGCTGGCATGTGCTCACAATCACTTGAGATATCTGAGCAGAGTATCCTTTGTCTTGTCCCAAACCTGCTGTGAGGAAAACTCTGGGAAATGCCCTGAGTTTTTTTCCTTTGAGGTTATAGTCCATGTGATGGGCTCCTCACTTTGTCAGTCAGCAATGCTGGCTGTATTGCTCACCTGCACTAATCAAGGAACAATCTCCCCAAGATTTACCTCAATTTCCCACATTATTTGTAGACTTGGCAACAGGAGAGGTTCCTCACAAGTCTCCTGTGAGCTGTTCCTGGCTCCCCTGGGATCCTGCCCATACTGATCCCGTGCTAATTAGAGCTGGCTTCGGTAGGCAGAGGTGAGCTGTAATCCTTCTAATGGTTCCACAGCCCTGTCCCGTCTTGCCTTCCCCAACACAAGGCACGGAGCTGGAATTCAGAGCTCTGCTTCCTCCCTGGCAGTGTCTGGAATGCCCATCACACCTGGGAAACAATGATTCCTCTGTTCAGCCTGGCTGAGGCTTCTGCAGCATTCACTTCCTCCCTTTGGAAAGCAGCAGCTGAAGCTGGCCTGTCCAAATCTGCACTCCAACAGACACTTCACAAACTTCTCTAGAATGTTGAAATTAATGAAATCCTGCCTTTCTCTTGCTGCATGTGAGTGCAGCTTCCATTTACCTGGTCTCTCAGCTCCTCCTAGGAAAAAGACTCTCTGGAGCCTGGAGTTGCTGGGGGGATGTTCCTGTGATCTCCAGCTTGGTTGGCATCTTCAAGAACTTGTGCCAGTGAAGACATCCAGTTTTCACTCCTCTCTGCTAGAATATCTGTAATTCAAGCATTGCAGATCACGTCTTCCTGCAGAAGGGAAAGAGTTGCATTTTATCCTTGCCCTTGCTGTCTAAATTGGATTAAATAACTTGCTTTCTCGAACTCATCTTCAGACCTTTTTTTGTTGTTTGTGAGATGAAGTTTGCTACGTAAGGTGGTGCAAGGTAAGGTTTGAATTTTTGATTCCAACAGAACTGAAACATTTTGAGAGACATCTAAACTTTTTTGTAGTCTCAGGGGAGATGGATTTACAGGGAAGATCTTGTTCTGTGCAAGGACAAATACTTCAGTTGAAAATAGTGATTAAGCACGATGAGACTGTCTGGAAAGGTGTTTGGGAACATTAGAGGGTACAAGAAGATATTTTTAGGCAGTGTGTGTATACATAAGAAACATTTTTCACTGTCTTATGATCCTTGCCACGTGGCATTTATTCCTAATTTCAGATCTGCTGAAGTCACAGTCAAGTGTCAGGAGCTCAGGACAGAGGCTAATTTCTCCAAAATCAGCCTTGTGCCTACCATACCAAAAACGGAGCCCTTCTTTCTTCTCCTGGCTTCTGAGACTACCAAATAGGTAGTTGAAGAAATGCATGAACCCCTGCTGATATCTGATGTCAGCAATTAGCCCTCTTGGAGACAGATGGTATAGGCAATTATCCTTCCCCTTCAATGCTGGCATCAGCCAGATGGGCTGAGCTAGGTCCAGTAAGCTTTCTTTAATCAGCAGAGTATTTTCCTCTTTTCCTACTCTTTAAGATGTCAAGGAGCTTCAGTCTTTTCCTGAACCATCCTCCTCTGAAGCCAGGCATTCAGAACCCTCTTGCCATACATTAGAAAGCCCACAGTGAGGTATCAGCAGCACAGGTGAGCACAGACAGCATTCAGGAATCACCCCGGCTCATCTCACACTTCTCCTTTTTCCTGCAAAGGCAGAGGAAGCAGCAGGAAAGCTGGCTTAAACGCTGAAAAGAAAGAGCAGGACTAATGGGAGTCAACAAGGACTGCACCCTCACTCCTCTAGAGAAGAGAAGAGGAATGAGGTTTTCAGGCTGACTTGCTCAAAATACTCTCTCAGCTCAGTGGCAGCTAAATCCCTGCCAATAAAAACCATGCTAATCAGTGGTTAGAGAGAGGGAGCTCCTGAGATAGGGCAACTTCCTCCAACCCTGAAGGCATGACTTTCTGTATTCACAACCACACTGGGCCTGACTGAAGTGCTTTCCAGAATACAGATTTGCTTCCTGAGCTCAAAAACATGTAACCACCGTGTCCTTTCTCAGAAACACATCTGCTCTAAAGACCGTATCCTGTAAGAACTGGTTTTACTGTGGCTTTGGACATAACTGAAATTGAAAAATTTCTGTGATCGTATATTCTCTTAAGCTGTATGAGGTTTTTTTTATCATTTGATAGTGGTTTCTTAATATTACATACTATCTATATATATAAAATATGTCAGAATATATATAAATAATATGTAATATAAAATAATAATATATAAAATATATAAAAATACATCAGAATGAAGCCTCAAAACAAGCTGTGCACCGTTTCACCCAAAGCGTCAAACAACCTTTAACTGAAAATCTTAGAAATTGTTAAAAGGTTTTAATTGGGAATCTCTGAAATTACTAAAAGCCCTCGTGACACATGAAGAAAATAGAATACAACTACTTGGGAAGCCTGAAAATTTTCTCTGAAAATAAATACGGAATTTTGTCTGCCTAAAGAATTTCTGCTCTTTGCAGAAATTAAGGCTCCTGTGTGGCCTGACAGCCTCACCTTGCTGCTGTGAGAGGGCACTCAGTATTCTGCCTTTTAACCATTTCTTATTTGTGTTGACAGGACAGAGTTAACCCCAGCTGGGCAGTCAAGAAGCTTTTCTCAGAAAAGTTTGTTGTAGAGTAAATAATACACTACTGTAAACAGTGCAAATAATAAAACTATGCAAGCTGAACTTGGGATAAGCCTTGGGACACACATCAAGCTGTGTCCTTGTGGGTGGATGGTGACTAAATAAACGCATGGCTGGGTGAATCTGGAGCCTTCACCTTCCTCTCCTGCCCCTTCTCTTGGCTTGGTGCTGCTGTTTCCTTCAGGTTCTGGCTGAATTTCCCACTTCAGCTCCATCCCAGGGAAGAAAAGAGGCAGGAAGGCGAGAGGCTGCTTGGCTCAGCAGGTGCCACAGTGGGCCCTTGTTGCCAGCAGCAACAATTACTGACTGCTGTGTCAGACCAGCTGGATGTTTGAGGTCTCAGTGGGTTGTAAGAGTGTGTAGCAGGGCTGCTAAACATGTGAGAGGTCTGGAAGAAGGGGGTAAGAGAGCCCGAAGAACACAGATCTGTGTTTAGAGCAAGTCTGGGAGCTCGTGAATACAATGAATTCGTCATGTGGTAAAGACAAAACTTGTTTTTAACTCATGGTTAATATTTCAGTAGCTTCTGATCACTTCTAAAAATGGGATTGACAGAGCCAGAGTAATCCATTGCACGTGTATGTGAATCTGCTCAGTGTTATTATAAAAATTCTCAGAGAAAGGTGTACAGAGCACAGTCTAGAGTGGCAAATCGGATATTGCACGACAACATGTATTACTGTAGATTTTACACTGGGACTTTCTCTGCTGAGAGCAAAATTGCAAGTATGCATGGCATTTCATATCACCTGCACACAGGTGATCTGAGTGTAAATGCATACTTTTAAAATAAATTTACACTGTTGTAGCAATTTCTTTGTGAATGTTAGAGTGTCCCCAGCACAGCTCTGGTATCTGTCATCACGAGACAGTGGATGTGATGGTCTAACAAGTCTTACCTTCATGAGGATAGCATAGAAAAGCTGATTAATATGCTTTTACCCCCTCAGATACTTCATTTTCCCTGTGATTCTGCTATATCATGCTTATATAGGTTCAGAACTTCCTGGTTTTTTTTTTTTATAAACATGCAGAAAATAAAACAGAGGCTGTAGGCAGCTGGTTTGAATTTGTGTCTAAACATGGCATTCAAATATTAATTGTGTGAATAAATCTTTTTCATTTTGCAGACATACAAATGTCAGTACAATAAAACTGATTATCAGAGGATGATGGTTTCTGACACCTGAAAAATGCCAAGATGAAGCTACTTACTGAAAGTCTATCGAAATACTCTGTTTGCCATAAACAGATGTTCATTAAAAATAGACATGCTTATTTTCTAAGTGGTTGACACTAATATCTTGGCATAATTCTAGCATCACAGCTAAAAACCTGATGCAGAAATGCTATATAAATGCAGCTCAAGAAAACATTGTGGACACAACAAAATGCAGTAAACTTTTATCTGCAGAATTTTGTACCTTAGATTTTCTTCACTCTCTCACTGTGAGTTGCATATATTTACAGTAGGTGAGTCTTCATGTTATTTTGTGGTTTTAAATCCACCTTACCAAAGCTTTGTTTTACAAAACCAGTTACACTTCACACCTTACAATCAGCTCAGTGAGTTGTTACTCTCAGGTGACAGAGAAGAAAACCAGACAGGGCATTTAGGGTGGTTCTGTGTGCATCTTCAGGCAGGACTTGAACAGTTTTCAGTTTTAATTTTGATGTTCTGTATTGAAGATGCAGCATGCCTAAGAGCTTTGGCTAAAGGTGGTTGTTTCTCCCTCCAGATGGAAGGCCTTTAACTCTGGATGAAATATGGGGAAGTGTTCATGCATCCTACCAGTCTCGTCTGCAGGAGGGGCCCTGGGACACTATTACACAACAGGTGAGAGATTGGGGAATTAAATATATGCCTGGGTCCTCAGTAGCCTTATTCCTCTCTTGGACAGGAGGAAAACAAGTTAAAATAATTAAAAAAAAAATAAATATATGTTTATATCATGTTGTGCTGAACCACTTACCAGCAATCATTTCAGTCCTGGATTTTGAAGGATAAATGTGTTCACCATTTAAGGCTTGCTTTGACAGTATCTCACATTTAAAATACTTTTCCAAAGCCAGTCCTCAAAAATTCAGGCAGTTTCTGAATAATCATGATTTTGGGTAAATACAAAAGCAGACTTGTTTATGTAAATAAAACATATCAATGTAACATTTCACAGAATTGTCTCGTAATCAAATTACCAAAAAAGACTGTGTGTAATTTTCAGTTTTAAATAGATTTGCAGTCTTCAGGATTGAACAAGGGAAAATTGGTTTCGTATCCAAAAATAAGTTGGTGCTGTATACTAGCCACGTGGCTCAGAGCTAAGCTGGTTGTTGTGGTGTCTTCCTTTTGCTCCAGGTCCCATGAGGAAATCTGACAAAAAATTTAGACTCTCCAAGTGTGAGTTTTTTCCCCCGTCAGACCAAGATACCAATGTGTCCTCTCTCCCTCCCCTTCCCTTCCTTGATGTTTTTATTTTAGCTCTTTCCAGGCACTCAGGTCTCCTGCCACAGCAGCATGACAAGAATGTGACATCCACTGGGTCCTACAGGAGCTCCCTTAATTCAAATAACACAGTTTAATTACAGGATGCCTGTTTGTAGATGGTGCCAGCCATGGGAGCACATGCAGAATTCTTGTTTTTTCACAGCCACAGACTATTATTTATCTTATAACAGCTTCCCGAGAAGCCACCAAGCCATGGGTGTTCTGGTGATTGCTGTGCGTGTCTGAATTCCAGTTGTGAGCTGGCAGGTTCTTACAATACTCACTTTTCACATGAAGGATTAATTACCTGGCTTGTCTGTGAATGAAGATGGGGAAACTGGGTTTCAATAACACAATGTAATAATGCGACACTACTGAGAATAAAGCATAAACGGGATGTTTGGAATGTGTGAAACGAGAGTTGTGGAAGCCAAAAGGAAAATCAGGTCACTCCCACACAGGGATTATTTTTGCTTCTTAAGGGACAGTAAAGTAAAAACTGTCCTGCATCTAATAACTGGAGGTGTGTGTAGGATACACACACACAGATTCCTGCCAGAAACAGGAGTTTTGGGTGGCAGGTTGTGTGTAGTGATGAATCTGATTTTGGGACACTCTCCAGAGGTGGTACAACCAGCTGTAAGTGCACTGACAAACACAGGAAGAACATTTTGGGGAAATTAGCATAGTTAACAGCTGCAAAATGTGACTTTCTGTGAAATAAGGAGATTATGGAAGATAATGAAAACTAGCCTGCAAGCCTCAGATCAAAGCAAGAGTCAGGTCTGCAGGAAAAAACCCTGCTTTTCTCTGTCCAATGAATGAGGGTTCTGAACTGAAATACGGAGTTTTGTCTTGCCTTGCTGCTTTTCTGCTGACCCATTTTGTTATGTGGGTTAGGCTTTGCCTGCAGGGACACAGATCCTATAATGCAAGTCACTGGGCAAGCTCATCAAATCAGGCTTGAGCTCTCAGTACACATGAGCAGCAGAGTAAAAAAAAGGTTTAGGATTTTAATCTGGAAGAGATACAAATTTTAGATGCTACATGCACCAAAAGAAATAAATTTTCTTTTTTTGGGAAGAAAAATTGAGCTTGCCAAGGGTCCATGCATGTTACTTACCTTTTAACTAGAGCTGATCTGCACTGTGATTGGCAGACCAGGAAAAGAAAGGCTTATTGACTTTCTGGGACTTTTTCCCCATATATTTGATGAAACGAGGGTGCCAGACCTGTGCACATTACTGATACAACCATATTCTGGTGTATACTGCCTGTGGTAGAGCACATCTATAATGAAGTACATCTCAGGAGCTGAGACAAGCTGCGAAGAGTGGAGACCTATGACATTTGCAAATTTTAGGTAAAATTTGAACTTTTATAGTTACTTTTGATTATGGTGGAAAGTTAGGCTCATTTCCAGAGGAAATATTTTTCCTGACTCGATTACTGCAAAAAGCAGAAGTCAACTAGTTACCTTCTCATAAATAAATTAACATGATAAGGTTGCATAGTATTTTATAATGATAATTGATAAATGGTGATGATTTAATTGCACTTCCTCTAGTAATAATCTTAAAATGCTCAAATGAAGTTCCTGTGATTGGCTTTCTTGTGAGTTAAATCTCCCTGGGGTCTTCAGTCATCCCTTCTCTACATCCGGCGATAACTTGCTTTAGCTGTTTTAAATAATACAAATCAATTAGAACATACAGCTGTTTAACAAAACTTCCAAATGTTGCTACAGGTCTCAGTGGGTATTTCCTGATGACTTATAATGACATCAATTTAGCACACCTGGTAAGATCTGTGTGAGCTGGAAGTGGCTTAATTCTGCAATGACAGGAAAATTAAGGAGTATTTATGGATTACTGTTGCCTTCCAGAAATGTTGCCAACTGTGATTTTCAGCTTCCTTTTAGGAGGATTCAGAAGCGGAATGACAGATACTGCAGCCCCATCTCCTGAATTGTTTACTTGTAACTTGGTGGGTGCTTTTTAGTGTTATTTATTTATATAGGTAATTTAAATACATATAAACATATCTTATACGTATGATGTATAATATTTATATTAGTTATTTATAAGATAGTATACACAAATACACAGTGGTACTGCCTGAACAGCTCAAACTTATTGGGCCCTCTTGTTTGTAATAAATATAATAAATAGCAGGTGTAATGTCCCAGCTAAGAACGCAGCAGCCCAAAAGTGCCATGGTCAAATGCTAAATAGTGAGGCAAATTGAGAGAATAAAACCTTATAAGAACAGGAAAAAAGTTTTAAAAAAAAGAAAAAGCCAACAGAGAGTGGAGAACAGAAATGAGACAAATGGGGAGAAAGCTTCCCAAATTAAAAAAACAAAACAAAACAAAACAAAACAAAAAAACCCAAAACCAACCAAAAAAAACCCCCAAAAAAACCTGATAACTAATACTGAGTTAATTTGTAGAGGCTGCATTTCACCTTTGATCATTCTGGAAGCCTCTCTGAAGATGAGTGGGAGATGTGAAGCAGCAGAGAGTGACCCTGTGGTTATAGCCAGAGCTTCAGGCTGTGTGGCTTTGGTTGGATCCTCTCTGTGGAATTGGAAATGCAAGATTGAAAAGCTTTTATTGAAAGGCTCCTATTGTCAGGGTGTGGGATAGGCATTGTCAAGACATGAATTTTCATCCTGCTCTGCTGAGGGCCCCACACCTGTTTGGAAGAGCCTTCATCAAGATCCAGGACAGTGGTGTAGCCTTCACATCCAGGTGTTTTCCAGAGTGTGGAGTGATGCTGGAGTGATGGATACAGTCACCTGCTACGAGGTAAACTGAGGCCCATTCTCAAGCACCTTCTGAAATTTAATAATAGTGGAATAACAGACTGAAAAAAAAGTTGGGTAAAGGCACTACTGAATCTTCATAATTTTTTGCCCTGATGGATATTTATAGAAGTGTAGACAAAGCAGAAGGACTTCAACAGGGGAAGAGACAACACTCTGACAAATACGTTTCTAAGACTGTGATGAAGCTGAGTGTTAATGTAGTTAATTCTATGAACACAGATGCCCATGTTAATTTTTGATTCTTTTTTCTTCTGCTAATCCATGCCTTCCATCAGTTTTTTTTCTGTGTGGAAGCAAACTAACAAGACAATTTTGTAAACTGATAAATGAAGCTGATCACAGTCAGTAGCATCACCAACAATTTTGTTTTTAACAGAGTGATGTTGTCATAAAGCCTGACCTTCCCCTGAGGAAACAAAGTCATAAACACAATCAAGTATATGTGCTAAGGCTTAATCAATGCTTAGTGATAGTGGAATGTAAAACCAAACTTCCAAGGATAGAAATCGAATTGCATTACTACAGGAGGCTCAGAGGTTGAAAAACAACCCCATAAAACAAGAGCAAAACTTGGTGCCTTGAAGATCCTGCAGAAATAGTCTTAAAAATTAATCTGTGAGTTAGGATTCCGAAGGTCTCTGGAAGCTGTGGAGCACATGTGCCCATGCATGACTCCCAACACTGTTCAGCTGGAATTGCTTCTGCTACCAAAGCACTCCCAGGCATGGGAGGGGACACAATTCATGTGTGACACCTTGGTTCTGGATTTGCCAGCAGTAAATCAGCGTTTTCCTGGTTTAGCCATTTACTGTTGCTGCAGACAAGGTAACTCAGACCATTCTGATACTGACTACATCCTATGTTTCTGAGTAGTGAGTGGTCAGGAATTTTGCATCTCTTTTTTCTCAACCGTTCAGTTCTCAGTTTCATTTTAATGAGGGGGTTTTCTTCTGTCATCTGATACTTAGCAGGTAGTTTTAATATGTCCCTTTAATACGTCATATCAGAAGTATTCAACCAAACTAAACTAGGGAAATCACAACACAGAACTGCACCTGAGTTAATCCAGAGTCTTTTTCAACCAGGAGTTAGGAATCTGGAGGACACATTCTTTATAGTACCTCAATAATCCTGTCCATTACATCACTTAATTTATAGCAGTGTTAACAGAAAAATCAATAAACATTATTTCTAAAATGTCAGGGATGTTAATAGTGTGATTTAAAAAAGGAGAAAGAGTCAAAACTCTGAACAGAACACATTGATATAGTGTTGTAGAGGCACATCTTGCTGAAAATGTGATAGGGAGGATTGAAATCATTACGGCTCAGTCATTTTGAAAAATGTGGTAAGGTATCTATTCTTAGACACACAAATCTTTCTTGCCATATTGTAGGATTTTACTAAGTGGGGGAGGCTGTATACAGTATTTCTTAACAGAAGGTTGCTAGGATCGCTCTTAACGAATTTGAGTTGCATCAACAGTTGCTATGGATCCCCTGCTAATATTTTTGGAAAATTAT